CGTTGTCTTAGACCGGCCTACCGCCCAATTCGAGCGCGTGGCAAGATGTGATCGCCCGGCGATCGATATTGCTATGCGCACATCTCGCCACGCGCTCGAATTGGGCGGTAGGCCGGCCTAAGACAACGATTTTTAATAATTAATTACTCGTTAACTATTACGAAAATTGCAAAATGGTACAGGACTTTTCCGTTCATCTCGATCCGTTCTACCTTCTCAAAAATTTTGTCGGATATAGAAAGACTCACCCTGTATAGGGCCCAAATTTCGACTCGGGTTAAAATTCTCATTGCGCTGAAGATGACCTAAAAAAAGGGCTCGAAACGTTCACGTTTATATATTATTTACTGTACCTATAACTAGATACTTTTATAAAGTAACTTTCCCAACCCTGAAAAAATTATATTAAATATCCCTTTTCCGCGACTTTCTGCCGTGGTGTAGCTCGCAAAAAGCTTGTTTCGCTTATACAATAGCGAACCACCTAAATCCGTGACGGATCCGGGCGAGGAAACCGGAGCAGTTTCGGCGCGGCACCTTTACGCGCGTCGCACGTACGTGCCGTTGTCGTACGTGCTTTGAAAATCACGCGCAAATACCGTTGTGCATTAAGGTCATTCACTTACCTACCTACCGACTGCGATTCAGCGCAGGAGTAACTACTGGTGTTTCGTGCTCGACACAAATCGCGGAAGAAAATGAACACGTGTCCTTCCGGCGCGTGTCGTATTACGATGCTTCTCCCGCACGTCGTGCTACGACGTTTCGGTCGACGCTCGCGCGCGACGTTTTGATTCCGAGAAGCTTAAACTTGTTCGAGCGGAGCCCTGCTAAGAGCCTGACACGATCTTGCGATGTAATAATCTTTACCTGTCGTCTGCGATTCGATTGTTGACCGTCACGTTTCGGGCGCGTACGTGCCTCAAGAAGACACCACCGCCGTCGTTATTCGATTTGAACATAAACGTTTAGAAAGTCGTGTCACTGCGCATCCGGCGTGGGTCAGGTTTTCTTCATAAAAAGAGTTACGACCTAAATAATACTTCTAACAATACTTTTGCTACCTGATATGACGATACACCTCTAACGGAAAAAGAAATCAACTTTATTCTAGGACACTGAAAAAATGTAAAACTGTCTTAGAAACGATACGAGTATCATTCTGTTGTAATAAAATCAGTAGTCAACTAATAAGAATATTCTTCAATGTCGCCAGCAGTAATTAACAACGTCAGTGTTCTCTTGACTATATCTGGCATTTTTAATAATACACGGAGAGACCGATATGGTTACCACATGTTTAATTAGGGTTGGCACAACCCCAATAAATAGTAATATTTGGGACAGCTATATCTGTGGTTGTCATACCCACATTGGTGTGATAAGTAGTGGAGACAACTATATGCGTTTTGTGCAGCAAACTTAGTGAATGTCGCAACACAAAACAATGTAGGTGCCCCTACTATTTATACAGCAAAATTGTAATTTTAGTTATTTTTGCCTTAGCCGGTCTTGCCGGGTACAGAAAATTTATTGCGAAAAATATTACCTCAGCCAGGATTTGAACCTGGACCTCCCCCTACACTCCAGGCGGGCGTCTCACCAATTCGACCACTCAGGCGTGTGGTAATATTTGTCGCAATAACGGTGTAAAAAATCAGCAATGTCGATTCGACTTTTGAAGTGTCCAGGTTTCCATAGCGCGTATAATTTAAAATAAGTCGAGCCGCTCGTATTTTGTACGAACAAACGTGGGGCCAACGGCCACAGTGCCTTACGAGCACACAAGAGTCGGGTGTTCGTTAACAAATTCCAATTTTAATGCCGCCACTTTACATCGTTAATTTCAATCTCACAACTCTCCGTATTGGATAATTTATTAGTCAAACTAATCTCCGTTTTTCAATGTATGACTTCAATTCGTTTTTATGTATTTTAACTTTTTATATATAATTTGGTTGACCATATCTGGCAATTTTAATGATTTCGTATCGCTACGTTTCGACCATGGGTTTTGGTCCTTTTCAAGCAAGTGTAACTGTGTTAATCGTGCATAGGATCACGTGTATTTAGTGGTGTTGTGAGGATGGTCATTATAATCCTAAAATATTACGTGAACTTATCTTGACTGACAAAACATCACTGGTCACGATTAACACAGTTACACTCGCTTGAAAAGGACCAAAACCCATGGTCGAAACGTAGCGATACGAAATCA